TGAGAAACCAGACCTCTTCATAAGTGCTCTCCAACAAGGTAAATTTTGCAGGCAGGGACGGAGCAAACATGCAAACAAACCAGCAGTCATTTTCCACTGTCTGTTACCATGCATTTTAATGAGGTTGATGGATTAATGCCTCACTCCAGTAATGGGCTACTCTGTGAGCACCAGTTAAGCTTGTTCTGCTCTATCAGTGCCTGGCTTATCGCATCGGTAATGGTCGCTCACGATTCCTGGTCCGCTCCCACATCATTTTTCCATCTAAATGTCTGTGTCGCAAATGCCCTTTTTTCCAGTGGAAAAAGGTTAAACCAGTCAGAAACAACGTTTTGAGATTAAATGGTTAAAGACACGCACTCTTAACTTTCCATATGATGGTTGAGACGTTTTGCAGCATTAGAATTGGCTTAATTTGGTTGTGTGAATATCTGTGTGTGTGACCTCTGTTCCTGTATGTGTAAATCTGGGCATTTATGCATGTGTACAAGTGTTTGTTTTCCTATCTTTTGACAAATCTCTGGTCAGACTGAGGGCATCCTGGGTTCACTTGTGTTGGGGTAGTTGTTGCAAGTATCCTTGAAATCTTTTCTTTCCCTTTTGAAATTTCTCAAAACACTGTAGATATGTAGAAATTAGTTGGCTAGTAAGTGTTATACCAAAGTTTCCAAGCAGATGAATCAAATGATCAGATTAATGCTTTCCTACATTACATTGTATTGTACAGTGGATTTTCTCCCTGACTGGTGAGATTAGAAATATATTTTTTCCTTTGATTGTAATTTTGATTGTAATTTTCTTTTTTCCCAGCGCGGGTTATGTTTTCATCAGTTTTGGTCTGGTTGTCTGTTAGCAACTACAGTAAGGATTGCCACAAAACCTGGTGGAAGGATATAGGTCAGGAAGAACCTTCTAAATTTTGGTGCGGTTTCAGATCAGGGTTTTTTTTTTAACTTTCTTTCAGCTTTGTGTTTTTTGTTACATTTTCACAGATTTCCAAGGAAATGGGTCTTCATGAAACAAAATAAAGCATATTTAGGGGACTGACATTTATATGAGTGTGTGAAATTTGGCGAAGCTTGATTGATTTCAAGGGGACCGTTAGGCATTGGAGGTTTGAGCTCTAGTGAGTTACATGTTGTCTGTGGAATATCATGTTAAAAAAAAAAAAAAAAAAAATTTGTGTAATTTTTTAAAACATTGGCTGGATGGATAAATCGGACATGGACGTATTTTTAAAGATATCTTTTAATAAGTTTTTCTTAATGGACTCTTCTATTCTCATCTTATGTCCTTCTTTTTTCTGGTTTAACACATGAAACAGATACCTGCTCTTATTTCTCTCTTCAGAAAGACTGCAGGCTTTTTTTCCACTTCTTTTTATTTTTTATTAGGTCTTGTTCTTAGTTTTTAAAATGTGCACATGCGTGAACACATGCTTGCGGCGGTGGTTTGAGCTGAATATCACTGTAAAGTGCATCTTCCCTCTTGGTTATTGCCTCCCCATTGTCACTGGCATTGTGCACAGAAGCCTTTTGTGTGGGCCTGGCTGGAGTCGGCCTGTTTACCGCGATTAAACGGGAGCAGAGGAGGTCGGGGGACTGATTCGTGCCTCTTTTTGAATGAAGGAATGTTGCAGTACCCACTGCAGTAGCATAGCTCTACTTTGACCTTAGCTGGGACAATACTTATCTTTTTCTGTTCTCCTTTTTTTTTTGTGTTTATGCTGCTCATGTTTAACTGTGTGTGCAGTGGTAATTTTGTTTATGACTCCCCATTTTCTCTTTAGTGAAATCACTAATTAACATTTCATAGCATGTGGAGCTGTAAACAAACTGAGTACCTTCATAGATGTTTAATCGGTTCATGGGTAAACACAGTATATTGTTTTTTTAATGTAATTTAA